TGGGGCCATCGCCCGCCCCCCCCCCCCCCATCTTCTCACAGTCCAGCAGAACAGCTGTGAACACAACCCGTATAGCCTGATGAGACCTTCATGAACCTCTCCAAGTGGATCCACCCTTCCACCTTCTCCCAGCCCTTGATCTTCTAACTGATCAGCATAGCCTGCTGTGTTGCACCATGTTTGTCCAAGGCAGAGCTTATGTAAGCCCACTCTCCCTTTTTCTGTTTAACTTCTGTGCTAACCGTGCGTCATTGCTGTCATCCGAGCCCCTCGATATCTCCTGCATTCAAACTGTTTCATTTGGGTAACTGTGTTAAAGGTGAAATAAAACGTTTTTTTTGTGTTTGTCAACAGTTCTTCAGTTTTGCCCTCTATGGCTCAGGTTAGGCCATTGGTTCCCCCCTCGCCATCCAAAGTCTGAATGATGAAGGGCGGGGGGAAGTCATTTTTCAGCTTGTATCCACTGGGTCACTTTGAAATTTTGCTCATTTTATGGTCTTACTGTTTGGTGGGACTTAAATGATTTTCTTTGATTGTTGGCAAGATAAAAGTAGTCTACAGATAAGCTTTTCATTAAGGGCTTTTAAAATATTAATGATATGGTTTTAGGGAGAAAATCTCGAAGTGCTTGCTCTTTCTATACCTGTGCAGGTGTTAATATGTATTGCCTCGTTGCTAAATGAGCTGTCAGGTTTGCTGAAAACTTATGGGAGCTGTTAGGACCAAGTATACATCGAGGCTGTGTCTAGACAGCAAGAACGTTTCTTCTGCAGGGAGGATAAGCATCAGTAGGCTGGGGAATTCCGACATCATCCAGGCTTTGGCTCAGTCTTTAGCTGATAACATTGTAGCCTGGTCTGGCCTTTAAAAATGCCCGTCAAGTTTGCCATCCAATGTCTTTTGTTTGTTTGGTGATCCTGCTCAGCTAACTAGTGTTTTACCATACAAAGTAAACCAGGAGCAGTGGCCTTGTTAAAGAATGAGGCTGTGCCCAATTTCACAAATCGCTCGTCTTCCTATTTCCTGTTGGACATGTTTTTCAGTCTTGTTTTGGGGGTGTGTGACCGCCAGGCTCATGGCTCAGCCTCTGGTATTTCTATCACTTTCTAGCTCACAGTCTGATTCACATGCTTGCTCAGAAATTAAAATACTATTGACAAGCTGATCTCGGGGCATGTTGGTGCCCACATACAAACGGCTGCCTTGGCTTTTTATTTGATTCCATCTTCTGAAACGCATAAGTGGTTCTTTGTCACACATTTTCTATTGGCTGACTAAACTCTATGCAGTTTTGTCATCAGCAATTTATGTAGTCGTCTTTGCTCAGAGCATAAACGTTGTCTTGCTTGAGTTTTCCCCCTTTTCTTGCTGCTCTGAAACATTTGCGAATAAGAACGTACTGTCTATTCCTGAATTGGCACCATGGTTAAAAGCTGCCTTTCAAGCAAGTATAGGGTGAAACTTTAATCTGACCCATGCCAACAGGTCATTGACTTAACATCATGTTGTTTTTCTGTCACATTTATTGCACTCTTTTGTAGGTTAACAATTATATTGTGTTTAACTGTGTTTGTGTGTGTTTTCAAGCTTAATATTTAATGAGGTAATTTTTTAGGTAAACATTCACCTTGATACATGCCATTGTCAGGGTTAACCAAACCCCTGATGAACTGTTTCTTAGCATTTATGCTATTACTGTGGCTTTAAGGCAATTCCCCTCTAATGTTTTAGTGTAAGTGGAGGTGGGGGGGGGGGGGGGATTAGAACAGCAGAATATTTCCACACAGCTTATCTCATCCTATGACTGGGAATATGACCTTCTCGCAGTCTCTGTAATGCAATAATAGTGTATAGAAACCCGCACATTTTTTTTAAGCATAAACATCTTGCCTGGATGGATATTTTTCAGATTTGATCTTAATCCTCGATACTTTAATCATAACTGCGGTTAACTCATGGTAATGTCTTATTGGCAATCAATGAAAAGCTGCTATACATGAATTCTCTAAAGTGAAAAGTAATTCCCTTTGTTCATCCAAAGGGTCAGTCACAGATTCCCATGCCTGAAAAGTTATGATAGAGATGCAGGAGAGAGAGTTTCTCTTTAAATGTGTGGAAATTGCTGTCTGTCGGGTATACAGTATACAAAGCACTGAGTGAAAAGTGTTGTGGTTGCATTTTTTTTTAGAGGTTTCTGATACAACTGGCCATATGGCCATATGTGTATGTATAGGTTGAATTATACCTAGGGCCAAATCTCAGTAGTAGTAAGAACATGTCTACCCATTGTCTACCCCTAGGCTGATGTAAGATGTTGCTGTAGCACATGGGAAAATAGCAAACTGTTTGAAACTCACACTGTATATAATCTGCTGCCAGTCAGTGGGTTTGCATCTGCCTCCGGCCTGCGGTTATTTTCATATTAATATTTTGTAACTGACACTTTTGTCAGACCAGCTTGAAATTTACTCCTTTAATACAAGCGGATTTTCTGCTCAAGCAGTTCAGGTCAAGCACCTCGGTCAAAGTAGCAGAGCACCGAGTGGGATAGGATTGATAACCCTTAGGTCATTCAGTCTGCTGCTTCCATGGGCCTCTTGCTTCTAGCTAAAGGGTACAAAGGTACAATAGCTGGATTTTGAGATCATTGTGCCTAATCAGCGTACCGCTTGATGTTCCTCTTGCAGGTAACCCGTGAAAGGCGACGAGAGCAGCCATGCCGGCCGCTGTAGGGGGACCTGTGGGGTACACTCCTCCTGAGGGGGGTTGGGGCTGGGCTGTGGTGGCGGGAGCCTTCATCTCCATTGGCTTCTCCTATGCCTTCCCCAAGTCCATCACTGTCTTCTTCAAGGAGATTGAGGTCATCTTCGATGCCACTAGCAGCCAGGTGTCGTGGATTTCGTCCATCATGTTGGCCGTCATGTACGGTGGAGGTGAGTGGGCAGCGCCGGAGGCGGAGGGGTTGGGGGGGGAGGGGGTCAGGTTCACATCACATCATCATGACTTGCTTTGGGGAGGGTCTGAGCTACTTAACACAGCCTCATTAATTACATTTAGGTTAGTTTTCCTTTTTCTCTATCTGCAGTATGCCAGCATAGAGCCTTGTCTTCAGAGCCAAGCAGTATGTCTGCCTTGGCTCAAAGGTGTCGATCCCCAGACTTCTGCAGCTCTGTTGGTTTTTGTTGTACTGTGGCACTTAATTGCTTTATTAAAGCCCTTATTTTTATAGGTAATTTCTTCTCATGTTCCAGATGTGGATAAACCGTTAGCAAAAAAAGCCCCACACCTGCCCCCATCTCAGGTTCTGGTGCACTAGTGAGTAGTGGCTGTGTTCGAATTCAGGTGCTGCATCCTTCGAAGGATGTGGTCTGAGGAGCCTTTGTAGGTCACATATTTCCATGGTTCTCTCAAAATCCACACGAATCTTGGGATATGTTGGGCTGTGAAGGACCGTTGGATGCATCCTTCGGGGGGCGGGAAATAACGCAATTATAGGCAGCATTTGAAGAGGCCATGTTGCACCGCTGTGATGCATTCAGTCTTCAAATGCAGCTTCAGAAGGATGCAGCCCCTGATTTCGGACACAGCCAGTGAATATCAGCCTGAGCTGTCCTCTGTCTGTCCTTCCATCTTCCAAAATAAGGACGGTGTAGATTTGCTTTCACATTGAGGGACTAAAACAGCCATGAACCCCCTCCCCATGAATGCACCTGGTACTTCTACATCCATACCCAAATCTATGGAAGTTGTCCAGGATGGGGGGCCTAGTACCTTTGCCATGCAGGACCGGGCACCAGGCGAGGTTATACCCTGGATGGGATGTCAGTCCTTCACAGGGCACGTTCACACGCACAAAGCATCACACACTACAGGCAATTTCGAATTTTGCCACTATTTTTTGTTTTCGGCTGCAGCATAAAACCTGCATGAACAGAGAACATGCAAACTGCACGCATGCGGAGAGGAGGCGGGACTGGAATCCGCAGCCCTGGAGCCGCTGTGCTGCCTTCTGCTCGGTCGGTGTCAAATGAAAACAACTGGTCCTCTTCAGAGATCCCTAAAGCATAGTTGGATAAAACAGCAGACAACTGATTAATGTACCGGACCACAGGGAATAACGTAGCATGCAGTGCAGCAGGCAAATGAAACAAAACCATGCCTGATTTTCAGAAGAGACAGGGAGACTCTGTTTATGACCTATATTTGGCAGAGGCAAGTTAATGAAAGTGTATTGAAACGTTACTTTGACGTAGCGCTTCTCGACCCGTTTTTGTGCACGCGGCAGTAGTCGGTGTCTTACTTATTTTAAGCTGGTCTTAGAAACTGTTGACCCCAGTCTGTTACTTCATGCCCTGAGCTGTAAGCTTTTACTGGGATTGGCCCTTTGAGCCTTCCGCTTTACTTAATATTTCAAACAAAAAGGACAGTTGTGGCAAACTGGCTTGTATTGAAAGCTTGAACAAAAATTGTAAAGCAAGGGGCCTGTCAGTGATTTGCTTTGGCAGAAGCACATATTTAGAAAGTGAGGTCAACTTTTAGTCACTTGTTTAGTTTTCTAAAGAATTTACTTTACAAGAAGCTGGTATTCTACACAGTTAGAGAGAACTGCCAGTTTTTGATTGGAGGTACTTTGAGGGGATGACTTTGTAAATGGAAATGAAACTTCCATAATTCCCTTTTTCTGCCAAAAACACAGTTAGCTGTGATTTGTGTTTTATGCTATGCCTTTATTAGAGCTAGTAATCTTGCGTGGATTTGAATTTTGAAGGTTAATCTGCCACAATCTAGTTTAAGCATTTTGTTTGTTCCGGTTCTTGCAAGTGGTACACATGAGCGTTAATCATTGCTAAGCTGTAGTGTTGTCTTGTTTTTGTACTTTGTGTTTGTGTGTGTGAAGCTGGGCTGTAGGAGGAGGAGAAAAGTCTTGCAGTGGTACTCGACAGTCACGAACCTTTCCTCCCTCTCGCTTTGTGAAATGCTAGCGCACTGTATTTTTGCTCACTTCCTCGAGCCAGATCCTACTTTTATTAGTGTGGCAGAGCCTCATATCCAGGATGGCCTGCTGACAGCTGCAGTTTTTCTAACGCTCTCTGCACTCCTGTAGGGATGGGAGCCGAAGTTCTCAGCCCTGGGTTCAGCCGCGGGACCTGTATTCATAGAGGAAATGACGTGAGGCTCTGGAGATGAAGGACATGGGTCGATGTGTGATGAATTATTATCTGCTGCAGCTTCTGGGCTACTCTGAGGCCGTGACAGGGGTACTGGCTCTTTAAGAATGGACCCTGCCCACATGGGCAGCCAGCGGAACATTCTGTGACCCCTGACGCTGCGCAGTTCTGCACGTATAGAGGATTTTGCAGCCGTGCTCGCCGTCATTCCACGAGAGCTGAGTCAGCAGCATGATTCCTGTCTTTTACGTGGTGCTTATTCATTTACTCCCCAAGGGATTAGATTGTTGGAACAACGATCTGTCGACCAGACACAAGGGGGTAAATGCGGGAGGAAGTCTGTGTTCTGTGGCATGACGTGACAGAACAGACACACCTCGGCTCGGCCTGGGTCACGTCAGTGTCTTCAGGTTGCAAGACATCAGCTGCTGCTGTGGTTGGACTGTGATGAGGGATGTTGCATACAGAGATCATGGCAGGTTGTTTGCGGTTAAGCCCCCCCCCCCCACAAAGACAATCCACTCTATAGGTTAGTGTGTTTTACAGCTATAGCTATACTGTTTATCTTGCAGTATTTTCCAGTTGGCATGGACCTGCCATTGCTTGTTTTTTTTTCCCCTTTTCCCACATTTCTTCACTTTTTCCATGCAGGAGAACACACCTCACAGGTGACATTTTCTCTTATCTCCGCCAGATCCAGGAAGGGGTAACGGTGGCTCATTTTGCAATTTGTTTGCCGCTGCTAAGCATGCCCTCTGAACCTGAGGTTGGCAGACTTGGAGCCAGAGTTCAGGTTGTGACAGCCCTATGGACAGTGTGACGTTTGTCGTGTATCTTGAATGATTCTGGTGAATTTGTCACTCAAAACAAATCTGGGAAGGATTAAAATCCTGGTACACCCTGAACCGCAAGGCCCGATATCTCTTGGGAATTGTGCAATGTGGCGAAAAACTCAAGTTCATAGTCAATATGTGTTAGAAGCCACTGGTTGGGGTTTTAGGGGGAACAATAAGTAAAAGCATTAAAAAGAGAAGGTTAAAATCTGCGTAAAAGATTGTTTGTTTGTATTTCTCCATCTACATCATCACCCAGTTTGCAGTTTCTGCTCACTGATACTATTTCTGATTTTTTTTCCCCCCACTTACCTTTTTATGAAAAGCATTGTCTAGCAAAACTGCTTGCTTTCCCTTTTGTTGCTCTTTGTAACACAAAGACAGGGCCTTTTCTCAGTATGGCAGCTAGCAGCGTGGAGTGTTATTTATTGTGGATGATAGTGGGAAAACCAGTTTGATTTATGCAAGTTACCAGTAACGGATTGTACTATTAGTGGCAGGTCAGTAGTCGCCTTTGAATGTCATTAAGTAGATTTAAATTGGAGAATAAATTTTGTTTGATAGATTGTGTAGATATTCCGGATGAATGGATTATGGCCTTCCTCTCGTGTCGATGACTGACTGATTCTCCGGTTTGTTGTGCTGGTGTTTTCAGTGTAGTCTGTCACCCTGTGTGTGTGTGGGGGGGGTGGGGGGGCTTACCATTCGCATACCCCGCCTGCACATCCTGCCATAGAGAATGCCCCCACCCCCCAGGCCGAATTCTCCGTAAACCACATTGTTGGGTTGATGACCGGCAGATGAGTCTGGCCTGTCTTTCTAAACCAAAACCCCTGCACTGGGTTTGTGTCCATTTGGCGGCGGTGGCATTTGGCAGGGTTGTGGTGTCTCCCGACGTTCTCATTCGAGCCGACGTGTCGAGCCAGCAGCGGACGCCTACCTGCCATGCTGTGTACGGCAATGACTTGAAGCTCCTGTGGTAACCTCCTGTAAACAGTGATTTGTATGTGCATTATGGTGATGTGCTGATGTTTTGGTGTTTGTCTCTCAGAAGATTATTCTGCCTCCTTGTAAACACTGTTCCTCTTTTTTTTTTTTTTTTTAAAGCATGGCAGTCAACCAAATAGTAATAGGAATAGATTTCTCAAACAAATGGAGGATAAACAGAATTCCTTCAAATGGGCTGAGAAAAAAACTAAAGCAACATCTTAAAGCTTGTGAAGAAGCGTAAGTTAGTAATGAGTATCATTGCCAAGGGCACTTTTTAACTACAAAAATGAAGTGTACATATTTGATTCTTTCCTTATAAATATTATGGCTTACATTTGTTATTTTCTGTTTGAGTAACATCTCTACAGAATAACTCTGTAGATAAGCATGCATAGATCCATCCACATCATCTCAACCAGCTCCCTTTGCCTGGCCACAGCTGGACGGGAGAGGGGGTAGCTTACAAGATACTTGGCCTTGTCCTGCTTTCCAATCCAGCCTTCGTCACCCCACGTTCCCTCTCTGTTCCCTTCAATAACACCCATTGTCTCATAGTTATCTGCATAAAAATGAGCACCACTCGAAAAGCCAGTGGATTTGAATGCAGATGCGTGAGGAAACCCCAGACAAAAGCACAATGCAAGCAGCATCGTCTCGCCTACGAGCAAATGTGCTCGACAGCAGTGGCTTGTGTACTTGTGCATTCATTGTGTCTTGATGCGCCTAATACCTGTGTGCCTAGAGCTAAGCAAGGGTATTCATTACAATGCTGTCGCAGTAGCAGTAATTTTGTACCAAACGTAGCACTGTGTTACCAAAATGTCTCAGCTGTGCAAGAACGGTATGTCAGCCATGTTGCAAGACTCAGAGATTCAACCTCAGTGTTTCCTGCAAGCTGCCATATTCATCAAAGCCATAATGCTTAATACTTAGTGTTGGCAATATTGAAATTTTAGGGAATCAAAAAATTCCCCTATTAAGGTTCTAGTGTCAACGGCCTATGTAGGTAAGCAGTGAAAGGTTGTCACTTTTTTGATGCTTGTACTACTGGTGTAACTGGGCTTACTTGGAAATACTTGCTGTGTGATACCTATGTGGGCACATAAGCCCAAGAGTGGATTTTAAAAGGAGAGGTGCTGTTACAAGTGTGTCTGCCCTGTTGGCTTGGCTTGCATGTGCTCCAAAAGGTGACTCATGGGCAACAATCAATCAGAAGCCATTCTATTTGGGTGAGCCTTGTTCTGCAGGTATCCATGACAACCAAAACTGGCAAAGAACAAGCATTAAACTGTCCTCAAGTGGCGTGCTAGATCACTCACATATTTAGAAGGAAATTAACTTAAGCAAACCACCTCCAGCATTTATCACCCAGTTACTTGGAGTCTGTGTTCCTACCCTGGTTCACTGCATTTATATTACATTTATTTTATTTTGCAGACACTTTTATCCAAAGCAACGTTCAAGTGAGGCAAATGGCGCATTTCCAGCACATGGCTAGACAAAGCACCACTGTTAGTCATGGTAGACCTGTAGCTTGATGGCCCCCTTGTGGCCAGAAGGAAAATGCATGCTCTGGGGGAAAAAAATCTCTTGCTGTTAAATCGTTTAACCTTTCAAAGATCATGTGTCAGCTTTTGCATTTTTCACGTTTATTTTGCAAGGTTAAAGCTGCCGTGACTACTTCAAAGCTTCGAGACTGAATGACTCTTAACTTTTGAATTCTGTTTTGAAGTATGTACTCTGCGGTCAAGCATTTTAATAAGGTGAATGGTTATCCCAAAGTTTATTTAAATCTGATTTAAAGATATTATACTTTTTAAATATGGATAAGGATTTTGAGTGTATATAGTGTGAACCTTTATGGTAAGAAGGAAATCTTGCTGATATGCCCAGCTAAGTTTTGACATTTTTGATTTCTATTTTTATATTTTTTTGGGGTGGGGGTCACCCATCATACATCACCTTTCTGATATTGAGTTTGACGCCCCTTCTTGCCATGAAGGACATCATCCTTGCTGGAATGTCAAGAATCTGCCAAAGTCTCACTTTCTCATTTTTTATTTATTTTTTTTTGTTTTCTCTCCAGGTCCAATCAGCAGTATTTTGGTGAACAAGTATGGGAGCCGGCCCATCATGATCGTAGGGGGCTGCCTGTCGGGCATCGGGCTGATCGCAGCCTCCTTCTGCAACACGGTGGCTGGCTTGTACTTCTGCATTGGAGTTGTGGGAGGTGCGTCTGCTGCAGTCGTGGGCGTGTCTTGCATAATAGGGATGGACATTTCATGCAGTCGCTACTCGAATTTCACTGGTCATTAATTCAAATAATATTCGATTAACCCCACCCCCCCAACACACACACACACACAGATTTATTTCTTTCCATATAAAACGAGATATTACTCATTGCTGCAAAACGGTAATGTCAAACATTAATAAGTAGCTTGAGTAAATTAAATTGAAACTGAAATTAAATTAAACTGAACAGATAGCTCAAGTGCAGCGGCATACAGTAACGATTAACAGCTCATGCCTTAGGTAGTTATGGCAATGTTCTTTATTTTTAACAATGCAATCCTAATATAATCCTTGCTTATTTACCGGCATTAATTTTTTCCGCACAAAAACACAATATCATAATATCCTCTCTATGGGATCCAAAATATTTCCATACAGAGAAAGGAAAATGTCTTCTAGTTATCTGTTCCTGTTCACCTCACTCACGTTTGTTAAACTCCTCACAAACGAGCCACACTATGAGTGAGCAAGCACAAAAACGATTATGATTGGCTCAGAGTGCATTGCAGAGCTTACATTAAAACAGCAACGGTAAACTTCAGGATGAATAAATCGCAAACTCATTAGAGAACGGCTAAATCATGAGAATTATTTCACAAACACAACAATTTAAATTGCTGCAAAATATATTTTAAAAAGCTCTTATTTGACTTTGAGTTGTTATAACAATGATAATAATTTCCAATTTTACACGTTCTTGATTATTTGACAAAACTGACTCATCCCTAGAGCATATCTAGGAACTGTGGCTTCACTTAGTGTGTCTTGAGTTCCTGTGAATGCAGTTGTTCAGGAAAGGAGAATGATCTCTGCTCCCTATTAGAGGGAATAGTAAGGGACAGGGAAGAAAGACCCAACTGCAGATCCTCAGTGTGTTGTGCGATAATTGAGCAGCAGTTTTTTCTTTTGGGTCAAAACAGTTAAATTACTCATGAATATATTTATTTGTTCCTTTTACCTGTACAGTCAATGTCATTAAACCACATGTATGGTTACGGTGTTGTGGTTACAGGTTTGGGACTGGCCTTCAACCTCAACCCTGCACTGACCATGATCGGCAAATACTTCTACAAACGGCGCCCCATTGCCAATGGCATCGCCATGGCAGGCAGCCCCGTCTTCCTGTCCACACTGGCCCCCCTAAACAGTTGGTTCTTTGACCACTTTGGCTGGCGGGGCAGCTTCCTTATCTTGGGTGGGCTTCTGCTCAACTGCTGCGTGGCAGGGTCCCTCATGCGACCGATTGGGCCAAAGCCCGCTCCCAAGGCAGCTGGAGAGGATGCGGAGGAGGCGGGCACTAGTGTCGATGGCAGAGTTGGGGAGAAGAGGACTGTGCTGCAGAGGATCAACAGCTTCATTGACCTCAGCCTCTTTACCCACCGTGGCTTCCTCCTCTACCTGTTGGGCAATGTGGTCATGTTCTTTGGTCTCTTTGCTCCCTTAGTATTCCTCAGCAACTTTGCCAAGAGCAAGGACATCTCCAAGGACAGGGCAGCTTTCCTCCTGTCCATCCTGGCCTTTGTAGATATGGTTGCCAGGCCTTCCATGGGCTTGGTGGCCAACACCTCATGGGTTCGGCCCCGTGTGCAGTACTTCTTTGCTGCATCAATCCTTTACAATGGGCTGTGTCACATTCTGGCACCGTTATCCTCGGACTACACGGGCTTCGTGATCTACTCGGTCTTCTTCGGCTTCGCTTTTGGCTGGCTGAGCTGTGTGCTGTTCGAGACGCTGATGGATCTGGTGGGAGCTCAGCGCTTCTCCAGCGCTGTGGGCCTGGTCACCATTGTGGAGTGTGGACCTGTGCTGTTAGGGCCTCCCCTGTTGGGTAAGTCTGGGAATGCATGCACTGTCTTCCTGTGTAAATCTGCAATTTACCAGTTCCTCCTCACTCACTCGTAATTCTGAGTCTTGCTTGTGGTGTCAAAACGGGAGGAAATTTCTACAAAAGTATGTATTGATAATCCAGAGAATTGAGTGTACAGGTTCTACAGCTGTTTGGGAGGTATGCATAGGCACAGTGAATGCCTCTTTCTCCCCATTTGTAACCACGGTCTCTAACAAAACATGGTCAGACTCAAAAGGCACATTTAACCTCTTTGGGTTTCAGTATTAAGGAAGTTGTAATGGAATTTAATTAAATTAAATTCTTTGATCGGACTCTTAATTTTTCTTAACTGATAGACATTGTGTTGATCAGTCACGTTTAGCATACAGTATGTTTTTAGCTAATGCTGTTTTTTTTTCTTTAAAGTACATCAGAGATTGATAAAAGGTAATAGCAATCATTGGTGTGCCCCCAAATATTCTTGGTGTAAACATGGAGCTTAATTCTTAAAATATTTATTCATGAACCAAAAAAAATATGCACTAGGTTTCTATTCATTATGGTGAGATGTGTTTCTCATGGGTTTGGCTTAGAGCTGAGATCTCTGACAAGCTCAGCTGAAAACCCCGCAGTCCTACACTCCGGACCCCTGCTGCTGTGCCCTTCAGTTGGGTGGATTATTTTCCTTTATTTACCTCAATAAACCAATCAAGGTCCCAGCATGGGTTGCAGATGGTTCCGACTGATAAGCATCATAAATGTTCCTGTCTTGGTATGAGTGTGAGCGTAATAAGCGATGCAGTTTGAGAAATGACAGCAGATTGGCTCAGCCAGCTGCTCTGCCTTCATGTACAGCTATTAGACTACTGTCCTCGTGGTGTTCCCTGCCCCCCCCCCCCCCCCCGCTTATCCCTGGGGCACCTGGATAGCAAAGTGGTCCACAGAGTTTCCTAATTCCACACACACTTCATCTACAGGGTCTCTCTGGCTTTAGATCAAAACCCAGATGGTCGTCTTGTCTCCAGCCATACCACCAGCAGATTTGAGATACCTTTACAATCATTTTAGCCTGGGTATCTCACAGGATTTATGATAATTTTTATTATGAATTACAGCTCACCTCTGTGATTGCTAATGCTCTGTACAAAGCATAAGACTTTTTCCTCATCTCCCACAGGTATGTTTAAGGACGTTTATGACGACTACAAATACACCTACTATGGCTGTGGGATTATCCTGATTGTGTCCAGTGTCATGCTTTTTGTGGGGATGGGCATTAACTACCGGTTACTGGAAAAAGAAAAGCAAGAGGAAGAGAGGAAGGCCAAGATGGAGGGTAGAGACGATGACTTCAGCGCGGGGAACATGGCTAAGCATAGCCTGGCTGGCAATGACCTGTCTGTGCCGCTCAAAGCAGCTGAGGACTCAAAAACAAACGAAGATGCCGTCTAATGTTTATTTGCTGCACGTAGGCTAGAGGTCAGACTTCTAACCTGGCCTTTCAATTTTGAGAACATGTATGTCATGTATGTTCGGTACTGTATTGTTTCAAGATGGAAAAAAGAGGCGTTAGGCCTGGCAAATAAGTGTGTCAGCAGCCAGCACCATCCCCCCCCCCAATGTTTCATGACCATTGACTTTCTAACAGGTAATATTTTGTGGTAAGGGCACTTCATGAGCTACTCTCATAGGCTGCAGTTTTCCTGAACGTATGTCACATGACCACACACATATGCTGACAATAAATAGTGTCTTAGGCACATGTGAGGCATACTGATTTGGGAGCCATAGTGTAGACTTGTACGTAATTTTTTTTTCTCTTGTCAGGAGTAGAGAAATGAATAAATTCTAATGTAGAATTTCACAATAGGTACTTTTATACATGCCCACATAAAATGGGCTTTTTGCACTACGTGAATCATATTGTTAGTTTCATTCACACAATCAGTTTTTCCTCACTAAAGCAGTCTATCACATTTGATATTTCAGACATCTGTTGTTGGCAAAAGTCAACTTTTACGATCACAACCCAATAGCCGTCACAACCCCAGATTATTTTCTGTCACCGTAAATAAAATTGGTGTATTCATTCTTTATGCCTCCCTCTAAATGTCTGATCAAGTGTTTTAGATTTAATATAATATGTTTAGGGTCAGTGTAGCACTATGGGTTCACACCGGTAGGGTTATGGGTTTGATTACCGGCTTGTGTACAGTACATGTGGAGTTTTTATGATCATGTGAGTTTCGTGCTGTGGTCCAAAGACACTCAATTGGAGGAATTGGTGTCTAATTGCCCATAGTATGTGTGTGTGCCCTGTAATGAGCTGGCATTCCATTGAGTGTCCCTGGGATAGGGTTCACCCTCACAGTGACACTACTGGAAAAGCCGTTATGTAATACGGATGGATGGCTTGCTGTGTATTTTTGTCTGGAATGTGATGTTCACTGATTTAGAGCTCTGAAGGATTTCATTGTAAGATAAGTATATGAAGGTGGGCTTCTGGAAGGAAACAAGTTGTGTAGCAGAATCTTGAATAAATTATCAATTTTTTTAATTTTCAGTCATTCAATCCAGCTGTTAAATGTCAGTTACACATCTTCACTGCTAAATCTTTGTGATTTAAGTCATTGTCATGCAGATCATAAAAGTTCCTAATTTGATTTAAACCTGCTGTAAAATCTAGCTGTTCTAATATTAAACTGGAATGTAGGTCAGTGTGTCCTTACTGAAGTTGCATTCTAAAAAGCAGATGTTTGCATATTCTAGACACACCATAAGATCTGATTTTTGAGACCCTATAGATCATACAACGTGCATGTCATTTTAGTAATAAGTATGTAAGTTAAGGAAAACCACCAGTTTAACACGATAAAATTCATGATACCACAAACATGTCTTCTGTCATACTAGTAACGTTGTCTTTGACTGGTAAAATTCTTTTGATGGCTGTTGATACTTTGCCATACATCTCAGGATGTATTTTATGTAGATTTCTGCCTTCTATGCGTCTTATTTCTTTGTAACATATTCTGAAATAATCAGACTCTATCCGCGAATGTCATTCACAAATCCATTACCAACTCCCACTCTTTGCAGTGGGTGTGTGAATTTTTCTGCAAAGCATTTTTATTGTGTATGACTTTCAGAATTTTTGTACTGGAATAATAAACTTGTATTAGCTTTTTGGCTATAAATGGATGCTTGGTTAATCACATTGCACTTAATAGAAGAGTCTCAAATGGACTGTATCAGGACGGTCAGACAAAATCACTTATTTTACCTGTCCGTTGTGTACAAACAATGGCAGTTATTATTATTCCAGGGAAGGGGTGTATGAAAAAGGATCTAGTGACAAGTGCCTTATCATTCCGTTACCTGGGCAGTCCTTTGCATTCGATGCACTTAGAACAAGCATCCCTGCCAGCATCCCTTTCCTACCGTGTCATATATCTATAATGTTGGTTGCTACGAACTTTTGAAAAGAATCAGGAAAACAAGGATTCTGTTATGTTACTTTTTCCATGACTTGTAATCTAATATCCATTATGGAGATAATTTCCTTGATTTTTAATTTTATTTCAGTATCGGATTCTGCTCTTTATGGTTGCTAAGAAGCCTCAAAGGAAGTGTGTACTTCTGCAGGGTGATATTGCGGGTCACGGTGAGGGGTACCAGCACCAGTTGTCAATGCTGACAGCTGACAACCTACAGAGGCCTTATCAATCTTTGCTGTGCCAGTTACGTTCTGTGGCTCTCCTAGTCAGCCGACGACAAAGATAGATGAAAAGATTCATCTTGCATTGGGGATAAAGGCCTTCACTTGATTGAATCACTTGATAGCTGATTTCATGGTGATTTTTAGCAGTTCAAATGGCATAGCAGTTTAATGTTTCATTTGAAAATACTGAGGTATAATGTAACGAATTCATGTTAAAAAATAGTTTGTATAAAAGTGGAAGTTTTAGTGTATGTTTTGGATTCTCTTAGCTGTGGGGAAAAAATAAGGTTGCCCACAGATGTTGGACCACGTCGAATGCGAGCTCTTTTTGTAAAGTAGTTTTTGTTTGGTATGAAGGGCATATTCCTGTGTTATAATACCTCCTGCAAAATCCCTAATACATGTAATAAATCTTGTATCCAATTTCAGAGAAACATATTGAAAGATGTTTATTTAATATGACATGCAGTGTTTCATACAATTTCACTAAGATTGTTCCAAGTAAAATAGCTATAATAAAATGTTATGAAAATGAAGAGTGTTGTGTATATTTTATTTCTCCAGTTTCACAAAACTAATTAGCATTTCTTTCATTGTGATAGTGACGTATATAATACAAAAAATAAACTATAAGCCGTATATAACTGTCACGCTGGTATTCATGAAACTGGAATACACTTTAAGGCAGGGCTGCCCAACCCTGCTGACGGAGACCTACCACCCTGCAGAGTTCACGTGTGTTAAATTACTGTTGCAAATAAGCTCTACACTGTCTACAGGGTGGTAGATTCCCAGGAGCAGGCAGGGTTGAGCAGTCGTGCATTAAGGGGTCATTCTCCCATACGCCAAAGTAAAAACTGAACCATATTTTCCCATCGACTTCAGAAACACGTAACTTAAGAGCATTTTTTTATTTAACCGCCTGCAGGGGAGAATAGTACGAGAATACAAATGTTCTCTGTTAAACTACCGCATTTCAGAATATTTCGACTAAATATCTTGCGACTGTCGCTGTTCGGTTTTAGTGTAAATTTCGAACTTCATAATAGTTAAACTAGTGGAGATAACTCTCTCCTCGAAACCAAATACCCCAAATAGATGTCGCACGTGCTTTACGGTAAGGCATTTCTGCACATGCGGTATTTGGGAAGCCCCGAACTGTTGTCTGTGAAAACAAAACTGTAAAAAAAATCGCGTCGTTTTTGCAAACAATGTACAAAGTATAGCTTGGTGTTACTGTATGATCATTTTTATCTTTTATAAAATAATTAACAAATACTGATATCACGTACTGCGTTAATACCGAAAGCCTTCGTTTCAGGTCCATCTCGCGAGCCCCGCTTCACGCGCCAAACCTAACGACTAAACCGTTAATCCTGGTTTCCTCAGGTAGGTAACAAAGGCTAGTGGATTACGCGCAACTTTATTCAAGGTATTTATCTAGTTTGTACAAAATGTAAGACATATAGGCAGGCATAAACAGTCCAGTTTAATTAATAGACTCTGTCCATATAAACATGGCTAAATTACCGTTTGCCTTTCGTGGTGTATTTTGAAATGTCTTCAACTACTTTATTTTACATGACAACGATCGCGCGATAGACACGAATTGATCCTTTCAACGCGGAGATCTGATTATAGGGGCGGATGAATTAATCAAAATTAAATAATTGGTGGGGGTGGTGACAGGCCCGCGGTTCCTATGCTCTTGAAGTTGATATATGACCTTCCACGAACCGCAGTAATATAACTAAACCGTTTGTGTAGAATAGTCTAAATCGTTCGTTTTAATTATAGGTGTTGTAATCAAGTTAATTCTTTAAGTATTGGTTTTATAAACTTAATCTAACGAAAATTGAGATGGAAGCCATTTTCGGGTGATAATTAACTCCAGTTTTATAGAGACGATGTGTTATCTGTTTGTTTTTCATTGTATGACATGTGAGAATGGAGAAGGAAAGACCATTTAACTTCAAGCTCTTGGTGCCACCAAGGATCAGTACCGGACAAGTGTTTGCAGTCAGACCTCAAGAAATTACTCCAAATACCCCTGGCATTATGCAGCCAGTACAGGTAGCTTGTTATCCTGGGAATACAGTATGTGATTAAGGAAAAAAATAATGAATTGTACCAGTGGCGGCTGGCCCATATCAATGTCAGTTTCGCTTAATAGTGTGTGCCTACATGCAATCTGAATTATTTAAACAACATTTCCACCAACTGACTCTCATTCAACAGTAAATTTCCACTGACAGATTTCCACCAATCATTTTTCTTCTTGGCTGCTCATCAAAGCACCCCAGAAGTGCAGTGAAATAGCCAATCGTGTATGGTTTGCTAGGCGAAAATAATAAAGATTCGGCCTATCAGCATCGCCGAGTTAAATGGTTTTGGGGTGCTGGAAATTTCGCCCCTGCTACAGAAAATGCGGGAAAGTTTTGGGTTGCTCTCAGGTCAGTCAGAGAGAGATGATGGCGGCGGCGACAGTTGAGGGGCAGCTTCCACCAAATTCGGTGAGATCGTTATTGAATTACCCTTTTGTGAGAAGGACGATGGTGGATAAAATCGATGTTAAGGAGCTGGGTCCCGACAAGCCAGAAATAAATATCACCCAGCCAACTAAGGGGAAAGTTAAAGCCTACAACAGGACTTGGTTGGTTCCAATGTTAATTTACTTTATCTGTGAAACTGCTGAATTTGAGAAGGAAATTAAATTGTTGTAATTTTCTGACTGTTCATTTGAATGCTTATACTGGACTAGGAAGGGAAATCTATTGGTATGTCAGCCCCACCAAGAATTTTTTTTCACCAGCCGTCACTGAATTGTACTAACAAACTACAGGATACATTTTGATACTGTACTTTGGTGTTTGCCTTGTGTGACATTATTAATGTTGTTTATTTAGACTAATATTGATTCACTAATTAGGACTTCATCCTTAATGGCATCAATTATACAGTGAAGCCCTACAGTTAAATAATGTGGTCCTACTCATGATTTATTGTCATATTAAACTTAGGTCAGCTGGCTGGAGAGAGATTTTCAATTCAAGACAAGTACATGCATACATTTTGTGTATGAGAGTTTTATTAGTTTGTAAGTAGTCTGTAGGATTTCCAAATTACCCCAACACTTTTTATGTAGCTAATTTAAGTTAATGATGGAATATTACAGATTTGCTGTAAGACTTTGCTGTAAGAGTCTGAAAGTGTGAGTGTGACAGTTGGCAACCCCAGCCCTGTACTGAGTACTTACCATTCTATGGCATGGCTTTGTTTTTTAGGCCCCCAGTAAGTGCCCTCAGAAAGATTTAAACAGTCCATTTCAAAATACTAGTATGGTTGCTTCCTCAAAATCTTTCAAAACAGGTAAATTACAATTCATAATTTTTATTTCTATGCAGATCAGCTTGATTATAGCACTATATCTGTACCATGCATACATGTAATGTGTAATACAAAGTACACATATTTATTATAGTATGTTGAATACAAAAGTGGTGAATAAATATAAATTGATGTCTGTATATATTTGTCGAATAGCTGAACTTTCTATGGTTAAATAAAGCTCTGGATAAACTATTAAGATTAGTTTTAACCAAGTATATTAATTTGTTAAAAGATGCAGCAAAGAAAATTGTCGTAATGCCAATGGAAAAAGAAGAGGTAAGTTTAAACATGAACAGCTGACAGTGAATGTGTTTTTGAATCATGCTGATAAGCAAAAGCTGTAGATTGTGTGGTGATCAGTTTATTTCAAAGCCAATAAATTCTAAGTATGAAAATTATTTTTATTTTTGCTTTAGAAAATTTCACTGTCAAGTGATTTGTGTTCTAAGCTTTTGGAAGAATTTGAAAAAATAAATAGCTGGAAATTTGAACTAGATTCAGAAATTTCACGGAAGGACAAATTATTGCATGAGAATAAAAGAACAATTGAAAATCAACGCAAAGCAATTCAGGAGCTACAGGTACATTTTGAGTTTTTTCTACAATTTGAAAAGTTCAATTGATACAGTGGCTTTTGTGTAATATAAAATTGAAGATCATGCCCTTTTGTTTTGATCTTATAGTTTGAAAATGAGACCCTTAGCATAAAACTGGAGAATCAAATGTGTGAAAATACAGAGCTGAAAAACAAGTATGTACAGGAAAGAAATTGCAATATAACGTTGCTGTCATGTTCCGGTTGAGAATTTAAATGGTCATTCATGACCTGTGATTCCTGAAAGCATCTTATTTTACTCAATGTATCATTATGCAAAAACGGCAACATATGTGTTACTTATATGAATTACATTACAGAAGCAGTGCAACCCAAAATCTGTGTACTATTCTGAATGATGCTTTTGAGAGATCAGTAGAGAAGATGAGTTTATGTAAGTAATGTACAAATGGTAATTTTGAAATATTTATTAGAGGACCTCTTTATGTCTATTTTATATGCCAATTATACAACTTTTAAAACATACAATGTAAATTATTCCTGTAGTTGAATCTGAAAGGCTGGAAACCCATGAACTCTTTATCCAAAACAGCGAAACCATTCAGGTACTTGTTCTTTATTTATTTTAGTTGAATATACATTGAAATAAAATACCAACAGAATGCTGGAATTATCTGTCTTATTAACTCAATTATCTGGCATATTAACTCAATTTTATTTCAGAGGATAATCGGTGCATTTGAAGGCCTTCGTGGTCAAACTGAATCTGATAAGTTAAAATGTAAGTTGGAAAGGAATATCACTAAAACATTTATGTACTGTATCCTGTACATTACAGTGCCTCACAAAATAGAATATATAAATGATATCTTGTAAAACAGAATTTAGTTACTACTAGTTTTTTACATTTAAATCATTTCTTTTAATAAATTGCTTATAAAATCCCATGTGTAGTCAAGGAAGAGCTCAAACAATATGAGGATATTGAGCAGAGGTTTCAAGAGGAATTAAGAATGAAAGAAGAAGAGGTTGGTATTTTATGTATGTTACATATATATATAAAATCTTCATAAAACAAAAACAATATAATTCATTTGTATTTTACATTTAAGGTTGCAATGCTTTGGGTAAAAATGAATGACAAAGATAACAAACTCCAAGAGGTACTTAAAAACTTGCAGGATAAGCAAGAGGACTGCATTCAGTTACAAGAAGCAGCAAGTATGGATTGATCATTTTCTTTTCCATATGCTGTCTTGTGCATATTATAGACAATGCTGTGTATATATATATATATATATATATAAATTCACAGGGCAACAATATGAAAAGCTTCAAATTTCCAAACAAGACCATGAGCTGCTGCTTGAAAAGTTACAGGAAATAGAAGAATCTCAAAAAGACATTGAGGTTGGGACTGTGTGGTATTTAATAAATTATTAAGCATAGAATTATAGTGTTAGTCAGTCAAGGGAAATAATGTTTGAATGATCTTCATGTTGGTGTAAAACTGGTATCATGTCTGCCAAAATGTCACCCCTGTATTTGCAGCAACTGTCACCAGTTTATTTTTTGACTTGACCATTAGCATA